ACGGTTCGCACCGGGGCACGAGGAACAGGAGAGATGGAGACGGGAAGGAAAGGAGTCCTGGACCCGAGTCCCACCTCCCCCCTGACTGTACAGGATCGCTGGCAAAGCAGTTGTGCTTCCTGAGGCCTTTACAGACTGATGGTGTGCGGGTTGATGTTGGGGGGCGGGGGAGGGGGGCCGGTCCCGGTATGCAAACCGCCATGCCGAGGTGAATGACTGACTCCACGCCGAACCCCCTGGCCTGGTGGTTCGTCTCCAACCACACATGTGTTCTGTTCACAGGCTGGATCCCAGTGGAGGGTGTAAAAATGAAAACATTAAAGTTTTTGATGGAAACTCTACCAAGGGGTCTCTGCTCGGGAAAGTCTGCAGTAAACATGACTACGTTCCTGTTTTTGAGTCATCATCCGATATGTTAACGGTTCAAATAGTCACCGATTCTGTAAGAATGCAAAGAACTGTCTTCATCTTCTACTACTACTTCTCACCCGGCACCTGTAAGTAAGGACACGTATACGTCCTCTGCACCTGCGAGCACAGAAGGTCACACACTCTCCTGCGTGGGTTGTTGTAACCTTGAGTCTGAGTCTGTGCCCTGAGAGCTCGCTGTGTGCGAGAGCAGCGGTTCTCTAACCTGTGTGCGAAAGAATCACCTGGAGAGCTTGTGAAATCAGATTCTGATTCACTGGTTCTGGCATGGAGCCCATGACTTTGCCTTTCTAACCAGCTCCCACGCGAGGCAGATGGATGGGGCTGATCAGACGGCTACGTATTGAGGTGTACCGTGTGACAGACTGAAGCAGACTCTCCAAGTTCACCTGTTTTAAAAAAAATTTTTTAATGTTTGTTTATTTTTGAGAGAGAGAGAGAGAGAGAGAGAGAGAGACAGAGTGCGAGTGGGGGAGGGGCAGAGAGAAGGAGGCACAGAATCTGAAGCAGGCTCCAGGCTCTGAGCTGTCAGCACAGAGCTCGACGCAGGGCTCGAACCCACAAACCGTGTGATCATGATCTGAGCCAAAGTCGGATGGTCAACTGACTGAGCCACCCAGGTGCTCCCAGCCTGTTTTATAATAACCTGAGATCCTTTGAAATGCCTGTTCAGGGACTGCTTCTCCCTCTGGTCTGAACACAACATCTTTGGAGCTATAGAATCTACATGTTTAACACGTCTTCCAGGTGATTCTTTTTTTTTAATTAAAAAAAATATTTATTTATTTATTTTTGAGAGAGTGCATGAGTGAGCAGGGGAGGAGCAGAGAGAAAGGGAGAGACAAAATCCCAGGCAGGCTCAATGTGGTCAGTGCAGAGCCCTACGTGGGGCCTGAACTCACAAATCGTGAGATCATGACCTAGGCTGAAATCAAGAGTCCGATGCTTCACCAACTGAGCCACCTAGGTGCCCCTTCCAGGTAATTCTTGATAAAGAAGGTCATCCAGGGAGCACATGCTGAGAATCTCTTATCTCACATCTGAATCTAAGACTGTCAGGCAGTCTGACGCTACAAATACATGGTTCTGCATTCACAGCACCCAGATTCCGCTGCAACCCAAAGCAGAATGCCAAGAAACTCTGCAAGTGGGTTCAGGAGCAAAGCTCCACTCTGGTTTGCTTTCCGAGGCCCAGAGTTGAGTATGTCACCCTCCTCTTAAACTGCTGAATCCTTGGTGTGGGCGGATCTCCAGAGTGGAGCAGTCAGGGCTCTCTGAAGCCAGACCCGGGCCACCTTTTCGGGCCTTACCTCTAGCCACTACCTGACCTGCATCCTAGGCTTCAGCTGGCCTACACCATTTTACACCCCCCTAGAAGGAGCCTTCGGTGTTGGCTGTCTGTGTTTCACTTGTCTGGCTGCTTGCTTACTGGGGAGGGGAGGGGAGGGACCGAGGGTGTCTTCACGAAGGCTGCATCCGAGCTGAGCTGTGAACCACAGTGTAGGGTAGGGAGAGGCGGGTAGCAGGGGAGGAGGGCTCCCGTCTGCTGGCACCAACAGTCTGAGGAGCCACGGGAGGGAAGGACAGTGGGGAACAGTAGGTCAGGCGGAGGTGGCTGATGAGGCTGGAAAGCTAGGCTGGGGCCAAGTGAGGAAGAGCCTCAGATGTTAGTCCTAAGAGTGTGACATCATTTTCCGTGGCTAAGACCTTAGTGGAGGGTCTCTAAAGCTGGGACAGTGTCACTCTGCCCTGCACCAGTGACCAGAAAATCCAGTGCAAAAGAAAGATGAAAATCTCAGTCTGCTACCAATTCAAAAGAGGGCAATAGAATAAAATTCGGGGGGTCTGGGTGGGGATTGCTTATTGAGCTCAACGCACAGCACAGAAACTAAATGAAGTCTCTCAGTGAAGTCTCTCCCGTGATTTATACTCTTGGTCACCCTCACATCCCTTTCAGCTATTCCAAACTGTGGTGGTTACTTGGATGCCTCCGAAGGATCCTTTACCAGCCCCAATTACCCAAAGCCACATCCTGCACTGGCTTACTGCGTGTGGCACATACAAGTGGAGAAAGGTTACAAGATAAAATTACACTTCAAAGACATTTTGTAAGTACTGTGGTCCATTTCTCCTGTTGGAGAAAGGCAGCAAGCCCCCCCTGGCAAATGGGGAACCTGGGGAAGGGAAAAGATCATGTGGACCCCCTCCTAGATGAGCATTATTCAAAGAATGGGTATATAAAGAAAATACCAGTAAGCGTCTGACTTCAGCTCAAGTCATGATCTCATGGTTTGTGGTTTCAAGCCCCACGTTGGGCTCTGGGCTGACAGCTCAGAGCCTGGAGCCTGCTTCAGATTCTGTGTCTCCCTCTCCCTCTGTCCCTCCCCACTCGTGCTCTGTCTCTTGGTCTCAAAAATAAATAAAACATTAAAGACAATTAAAAAAAAGAAAGCACCAATATTATTGCATTGAAGTAAATGGACTCTTTTTCTGAAGATTCTGAGGTCACACCAGGGATGGGCAAAGCCCCAGGTTTGTCATCATAAGCCTGAGATCCCACCGTAAGGAAAACTCTTGAATCACTTAGGACTGAGACTGTTGAGAATTGAATTTTCACCAGAGGCCCTACTTCTCTAGCATAGAAGTGGACGAATACTGCAGATTTGACTTCATTGCCGTTTATGATGGCTCCTCCACCACCTCTGGCCTGCTTGGACAAGTGTGTGGCTACGTGAAGCCCACCTTTGAATCCTCGTCGGACTCGCTGACTGTTGTGCTATCTACAGATTACGCCAACTCCTACCGAGGCTTCACTGCTTCCTACACTTCAGTTTACGCGGGAAACGTCAACACTAGTAAGTCATACCCCTTAGCTGTTTTGAGCTCTCTGAGGACGGTGCCCGTACAAACTGCCCTTTAATTCTTAGCCTACCCGTGGCTCCCCTGCTTGCAAGCCTGTCATACATACTTTGGAACATCTTCGTGATCGGAAGCTGGAGGATCAGTTCTGTGCATTGCCTCGTACAAGAGGAAGGGAATGATTTTATTAACTTGAGAAAGATTTCTGTAGAAAATAGCGACTGTTTTCCTTATTGCCTTCTGTAAAGGCACAATTAAAAATAATAGAGTCACAGATTGAAGTTGCAAAAAAGGTCACGGTGAACGTCATAAGAGGTGGGTCAACTACTCTGCTGTCTCAGGCTTCTGATTATGGTTTAGAGCAAAATGGCTTTGAGTTTTTATTTTTTAATTTAATTTAATTAATTAATTTATTCATTCATTTATTCATTCATTTATTCATTCATTCATTTTATTTATTTTATTATTCTATTTTTTATATGTAATTTATTGTCAAACTGGTTTCCATACAACACCCAGTGCTCATCCCAACAGGTGCCTTCCTCGATGCCCATCACTCACTTTCCCCTCTCCCCCGGCTTTGAGTTTTTTAATATACTTCTGTGCACATAGCTTTTCAAGATCCAAAGTTCAAGGTTGACATAAACATAATCATCCCTGTTTTGTTTTTGTTTTTGTTTTTGTTTTTTCTGAACAGCATCCTTAACTTGCTCCTCAGACAAGATGAGAGTTATCATTAGTAAATCCTACCTGGGATTATTAAAATATAGCGAGAATAACTTACAACTAAATGACCCAACTTGCAGACCAAAGATATCAAATGTGGTGGAATTTTCTATTCCTCTGAATGGATGCGGTACAGTCAAAAAGGTAAAGCGAGACACTGAGCTGGCTTTTGTCACACGCCAGAGATGTGTTAGATAACGCCGTGGTACTTGCTGGTGACTTTAACGAACAGCTCCCAAACCTTAGCAGCTTCATGTGTGGTAAGCTTGTGGGGACATATAAGTGCACTCACTCATTTACACACCAATGCCAAATTGCCACATTCATTATCAGGGTAACTGGAGGGTGGTTATCTTTTCCAAAAGGTGAAGAACTCTGACGACTCACTGCAGAAAGTTCGAGCATCTAGATACTGCAGGTGTAAGAGTCTACCAATAATACTTGTACAGAAAATGTCTACATCTCATATTCAGCAAACACCTAGCTGTATTTTTATGATCTTCTTCTTTCCTCTGTAAAGAGAGAAGATAAAAATATTATGCTTTGTTTTAAACATGAAGGACATAAGTTTCGTTCTACCTTTTCTAGAACTTGAAGATCTCAAACATTTGCAACCTGTATGTCCCTTTAGGATGTACTCCCTAAACTTTTCACTCAGGTCCTGAAACAACGATGCCATTGAAAAGAATGGGAGCTACTCCGGGGAATCAATAAGGATGGAAGTAAATCGTTATTTTTTGCTCCACGTGAACAGCTGGACGATTATCTGCGCATCCCTAGGGAAAGCAGTCCGGGGAAACCCTACTGCAGGACTTCTGTCCGCATACACTTGGGAAACTGCCCAGGGAGCCGCACTAACAATGCTACTTACGAAAGGCAATACATTATAGGGTCTCGAGTCTTTCTAGGGCTGGAAATTTGTGTTCAAAATTGTTTTTAACGTAAAAAGTTTTGTCTAATTCCGTATTCCGGTCTCTCTAAGCCAAGCTCTGTCTCTCGTCTCACGTGTTTTCTGCCTACCCAGCATGTTTCTTAAAGAAAGCACATTTGAGCCTTAGGGTATTCCAACATGCAAGCTGCTGACTTGCAATTTAAGATGATTGTGTGCCTACCCACACATGCCATGCATATCTATGTTCTAAAATATTATTGGACTTAAAATACAACATTTGAATTCCATCTTGGTCTGCAGGTAGAAGATCATTCAATTACTTACACCAACATAATCACTCTCATTCCGTCCTCCGCATCGGAAGTGATCACCCGCCAGAAACATCTCCAGATTGTTCTGAAGTGTGAAATGGAACGTAATTCTACTGTGGAGATGATGTACATAACAGAAGATGACATAATACAAAATCAAATTGTGCTGGGCAAATATAACACAAGCATGGCTCTTTTTGAATCCAATTCATTTGAAAAGCCTCTGCTGGAGTCACCATATTATGTGGATTTGAACCAAACTCTTTTTGTTCAAGTCAGCGTCCACGCCTCGGATCCAGATTTGGTGGTTTTTCTTGATAACTGTATTGCCTCTCCCACGTCTGACTTTGCATCCCCAACCTATGACCTCATCAAGAGTGGGTATGTACTGATGGGTGATATGCTTTTCTGAGGATTAATAATGACTCGAATGAAGTACTATTTTTTGTGTATGGTTGTACAATTCCTGTATGCCTGCTGTATAATTGTTTTCTATACTGCTGCCATGGAGTTTAGTAAATTTAATTGTTTTACAAAATACAGTTAGTGTATACTAGTGACAAATACTTTAAGTTAGAGCATTTCTACAGCCACAGCCCATATCCACTAGAATTTTAAGTATGTTTCCCAAATATTTGCTGGTAGAAACAAATATATTTTTGTCAAGATGCTTTGTGGTTTTGTTTTTGCTTCCCCCCCAACCCCCCATGTTGATTATTTTCAACAAAACACCAAAGGATTATTTCATTTGTTCCAGATTTAGAACACAGACCTAATACAATTAGTAAAGTATATGCGGCATTCTCTTAAAAAAAAAAAAAAAGGGAAGTTTTCCTCTTTTTCTGTAAGCTGATGGACTTTATATCAACCCTATTGGCACGTTCAAAGCAAGTGTGTAGAGTAAGGCATTTGAGTTCTAATATATCTGAATTGGTTTTCTAATTAATTCACATAGACTAGGAATTTTATTGCTGGAGGGAACTTTGTCTTACCCAGGAATCAGATCTATAGCCTTAGCTCACTATGGTCTGAGCTAAAGACATTGTCTTTCTAGAGCAATTTTTGGACCCACAAATTAGTTCAAACAAAACTCTGTATCATTTCTTTTCAATATCAAAAAGACTGAACTGTAAATTTTCTAAATGTGCCATAAATTCTGTTCCAGATGTAGTCGAGATGAGACTTGTGAGGTGTATCCATTTTCTGGACACTATGGAAGATTCCAATTTAATGCCTTTAAATTCTTGAGAAATCTGGGCTCCGTGTATCTACAGTGTAAGATTTTGATATGTGACAGTAGTGACCATCAGTCTCGCTGCAACCAAGGCTGTGTCTCTAGAAGGAAACGAGACATTTCTTCATACAAATGGAAGGCAGATTCTGTCATAGGACCTATTCGTCTGAAAAGGGATCAAAGTGCAAGTGGAAATTCAGGTAAAGAACAAGCTATTTCCTGATCTAAGAACACCTCATGGTTCATTAAATTCTGCTCAATTGTGTTCCTGCTTAAGCATGCACAGTATAGAGATTTATGATATCAGCAGCTAAGTCCTAATAAGCACACAAGATTAATTTTTCTATTAGTTGAAAAAATGTAAACCAGGTACATTTTAAGCATATTATACACTGATAATGTACCATGATCCCTGTGGCTTTTGAGTATAAATATAACTTTCCCACTTCTAAAACCAACACTTTCTCTTAGCTTCCTGACTCCTTGTTATAGACAGCATGGCAGATAACAGAATTAAAGCAATGTATTTTAACTCCTATATGAGAAAATCCGATGAACCTGCATCCCACACAACCACCTTTTTGGGGAAAAAAAGCTATTTTTTTCTAAGAGAAAATACTCTATTTTTAAGATGGACCTACTTCTTTTTTTTAAATGTTTATTTTATTTTTGAGAGAGAGAGAAAGAGAGAGAGAGCAGGTGCACATACGTGAGCATGGAGTCGGGGGTGGGCAGAGAGAGGGAGACAGAGGATCCGAAGCTTGATGCTTGAAGTCACGAACTGTGAGATCGTGACCTGAGCAGAAGTCTGATGCTTAAGCGCTTACCTGACTGAGCCACCCAGGTGCCCCCAGCCCTGCTTCTTTTTAGAGGATTGAAACATGACCCCTGCCAGGTCACAGGAGAATGAGGTGGTGGTGGCCACTCATGGACAAGCCACAACTAAATGGCTTTGGACGGACCACAGTTAAATAAAAACTGCTTATGAGTTTATCTCATGTGAAAATTATCCTGGCATAAAAGAATCTTGTGACCTCTATGTTAATTGTTATTTGAATGGACTATGAAGGAGTAGGATTCTAGTTTGTAGCAAAACATTTCTAAGATAAATGCAAAAGAACACAAAAATTAAATCCAGTAACTTTATAAACACATTCACTAAAGATGATGCATCTGTGGATATTAGTCTGAAATTAGTTGAAAATCTGTGAATGAAAGTTACAGAAATATCTTCCATATTAGAAAGTACCCTTTTCTAGGGAGCCTGGGTGGCTCAGTCGGTTAAGTGTTCTACTCTCGGTTTCGGCTCAGGTCATGATCTCACGGTTTCATGAGTTTGAACCCCCATTTGGGCTCTGTGCTGACAGTGTGGAGCCTGCTTGGGATTCTCTCTCTCTCTCTCTCTCTCTCTCTCTCTCTCTCTCTCTCCCCCTCCCTCTCCCTCTCCCTCTCTCTGTCCCTCCCCTGCTCAGGCTGTCTCTGTCTCTCTCAACATAAATAAATAAAAACTTTTAAAAAAGTACCCTTTTCCTGTTTCAAGAGGAGAAACCAGTTGTTTCTCTATCGATCTATGGGAACTATGGGAAATAGTGAGAATCCATAAATGGACCCGTGCTTCTGTTTGACCGAGATGCTTGATTGTCACAAGTTTTTCACTTTATGTCAAGGAAACAAATTAACTATTTAAACAAACGAATGTAAGGGCATCTTGTCCTTTCTAAACAGAAACATAAACTGATTGAAATATTTGCTCACTGTCGCTGTATGTTGTGTTGGCATTATATACCATGCATTAATTGGTGCATAAGATTCATATTTGCGAGGAGGTACACAATTCATGAACATTTTGTAATGCCAAGTAATACCTTTCTTTAAATGATGTTTATCTTCTTTCCAATTACAGGATTTCAGTATCAAATACATGGAGAAGAAACTCAGAATCAACCTTTCAACAGTCTGCAACTATTTTTATTCATGGCCCTTGCTCTGAATGTAGTGATTGTGGCTACGATCATAGCAAGGCATTTTGTGAAGCAGAGAACAGACTACAAGTACCAGAAGCTGCAGAATATGAACTAACGGGTTCAGCCTTAAGTGAGACACGTTCCTCCTGAACACCAAAGGAAATGCTACCCATTATGAATAAATTAGGGAGAGCCTCATAAGAGTGATGCACAGGTCTTGCTGTCATTGTGGTCAGTGTGCTGCCTTGCAGGGTGGTTGAAACGAGCGAACATTATGTAAGTTAGGTCTCATGATAAAGACCTGAAGCCACCAAAATATTAAATGAATTAAAAGCATCCTTTTTCACCAAGCATTTTCAGTAAATAATTAGGTGAAAGGAAAAAAAAAAGACATAAGTCTTCAGCATTAGATGTATTTATTTTCTAGATGCAAATGTGTTACCTTTTGAAACATATATGAACGTTATAATTTCTGAAACGAAGTGTGACAAAGAGAATGACCATCTTTTTTATTCATATGCCTCACTATTTCAATGCGGAGTCTCAGCATCTTACAGCTTAAACACATCTCAGAAAAGGGCTTTGGAAAGAAGACCCTGATTATCATAGGCGAGACTTCTGTGTAGTTTCCTGGTTAATGAAGTAAAACAACAGTTCTCCCATTTCCCATCAAACACCAAAGCCAAACATACCTGTAGCAAGGCGGAGTCAGTTCTGACTTAATACATTCCTCTCTGCTGTGGCTGAACAAATATTAAAGACCTCAGTGTGAACTGACTTTACATATACCGAACATCATATTGAATTCTTTGTCTTAGATGCACATTACAACTCTACCTCATCACTCAGTACCACCGTGGTTTGGGTTCTGATCAACATCTAAAGAGGCAACCACATTTCTGAATGCCCAAAGACTTTCCTCCCGTACACATGTATCGGGTACACAGTAATGCCCGGGGAATATACCACGAGTAAGACGCCCTCTCTATTCTCATCGAACAAGTTTTTAGGAGCCTGCTGGGTTTCCAGATCCAAATCGAAATGCATCTTCCCCATTTTCTCTTTAATATGTCCACGTGGATCTTCTAAGCACTTCCCCCAAGTGGCCATGCGGTTGGGTGCCCTCCGCATTCCATCAGTATGACAACACAGAGCTACTGCAGAAGTTCTCTTCCAACCTAATGTGAAAACACTCAGAACATAATCAGAACAGGCAAATCGAATTCAGAAAAACAGAACTTACAACCTGTCTGGGTGCTGGCCCGTCCACCATCTTTCTATCAGGAACCGATTGATTTTATGCTGGTGGCCAGGCCTGGGGGCTGCTCAGGGCCACACCAGGCACATAGTGTAAGACTAAGACAATTGTCAAATGCCGTGACTCAGTAGACACTGTAAAATTGTATTACCATGCGTCAAAAAACCTTTTGCAGAGCTATTGAGCTATACCAAGGCATTATAGGTATAAAATAATATATATCAGCAAGTGTTTTTCTTCAGGGGAAACTGCAGTAAAGTAATTAAGGGTCCTCGATCTGGAGTTGGTGGCCTGGGTGTTAGCTCTTCCTCTTACCTGGTGGGTTACCTTCGCCGGGTTCACCTTCAGCCTTGATCTCCACAATTTAAAACAGAGAAGGTAAAACTGCCCCCCCCACCCCCCACCCCGGAGTGTTGCAAGGATTAAACGAGAAAATGAGTTGCAGTCAGGGGCTATCTGTGTTCCACGTGCCACCAGTGGTGATTACCCATGGCCGGCCCCCCAAGTCCTGTCTTAGTACCTGCTTCCTCAGACCCCACCCGGTATTGACTGTCATGGCTCAGATCCCGGGAAACCACTTCTGATAGAGAGTATTGCACACAGAAGGATTCCTGGGGAGTGTGCTTGCGATCAAGCCCTGAAAGGGGTGAGGGAAGGAGAACCCGGCAGGGGAGTTGGTGAGCGGAGAAGCGGTCGCAGCAGAAAGCCCCATCAACCCCCCCAAGAATCCTGGGCTGGGCCGGCTCTTCAGAGAGGCCCCAGGCCGAGGCTTGGTGCTCCGGCCATTACATGCCTCCCTTGACCACTCGTGGTTGAAGCCAACGAATGGGGCTGAGGCAGCTGCCTTGAGCCGAGGGAATTCCTGCAGAGCAATGGGGCCGAGAGCCATCAGCCACCAACACTCCCGGCAGCTTGAAGAATGAGTGATCCCATCTGAGGGAGATGTGGGTGTCACACCAGAGCGGTCACTAGACTCACTTCCTAAAAGAGGATTTTCAGAATGTCTCACAGCGCTAAATTCTGACTCCATTATGCTGTATTCAAGACACGTGCCTAACAAGGTATGTCAGCAAGGCTAAGAGCAAATTGGGCAATGGAATATCAGCACGTGCAAACAAGATGGGGAGGGTCACCTCATTACCACTGAGCGGGGTGGAACCCAGGCTGTCCATGTGACCTTGCTGCCCCCCCCTCCCCCCGGAAGGTGGAGTTGCCTTGTTACCTCTGGATGAGGGTTGAGGTCCTGGCTCTACCCAGAGTGGTGTTAAAGGGTGGGGTTGGAAGTCTAGGCTCCCCACCTGGTCTCCGCCTGACCTGGGGGGTGTTGGGGAGGCTCTGGTTACTGCCCACAGGTAACACCACCCTGCGCAGGGGAGGGGAGATGTAAGGATCCTGAGGGCAGGTGAAAGTCTAGGCTCCCCGCTTCACCTTCGTTGGCTAGGCTGGGGGTAGGGCCACAGTTTTACCCATGGTGCGTGGAGCCAGGTGGCTATTGTGTAAAAGTTTTCTGTCTTGCCTGGCTGCTCCTTTACCCGTCCTTTGGCTGGAGACAGCAGACTTCTCTTGGGGCCTTTTTGTCTGTACCCATTGGTGTTTCTGGGTTGCAGTTTTCTGTGAAGTGCATTTTGATCCAGAAAGCACAGGATGCTTAGCAGTGGCCATGGCTTTTACACTTCAGCGTCCCTAAGAATCACCTGGAATAGTTGTGGAAAGGGCCACTTCCTGGCTTCTGTTAGCTGAGCCACAGCCAGAGAGCCTGGCTGGGAAGTTCACTGGCCCCTTATTTATTTATTCTGAAAAGTTCAGTCCTTTCAATGTCGATACTTTTCACGTTAGGCACCTGTTAAAAGTCCTAAGATGCTGAGTTTGGAAGCTCACTTCCTCAACACATTTGGATAGCTGCAGTTACTGGGCAGATAAGCTTTGGAAAGTAGAAACTCCAGCAGCTCACAGCTTACCTGGAAAACCCCTTAATTCATCTGAAGCCCTTGGGTGAAATCGATGCCCGATGCTAAAATCATGCGACTGAAGATGAAGCCACTGGGTGACAAATGATTAACTTCTGATTTAAAGATACAGTCTTCACCAGACTGACCAGTAATTATGTTTCATCAACTTCTACTAGGTATAAGCAGGGAACATCATCAAAGTAAACGTCAGTAACCTATTTTTAGCAAGATGGTTGTCGATGAAGGGCACGTTTGAAATGAAACTGAGATGTTCCCCTTTGGAGGCAATGTCCGCCCTTGGGTCACTCGTCAGATTTTCATCTCTTGGGACTTCAGGGTTAGCTCCCAGGCTCCCCCAAACCCTGCCCTCCTCCCCGGGGGACTTGGCCATATTCATCCTATCTCATACTGCTATTTAATGACAATGAAAGGAAAAATCTCTTGGCCTTAAGGACTCATATTTCAAACATTGCTGTTGAATATTTCTTGACAAGCAAAGAAAAAAACAATGGCCACGTCCAAAACTGTCTCTTTAAAGACTGAGCCTAGTGCAGACCTCTTTCTGTGATGATACAAAGAGAGCTTGGATAAAGTGGGTGCTGCCCTCCTTTCTCAGGAGGGTGTGGGATATACAAGCCTTTCTTTCTGTACTCTTCAGATTTCCTGTGTACTTTTTAGCTTTCCTATAAAGCTTTGAGGATCTGGGACACGGACTGAGTGCATGGTAGCTCAGCCAGCAGTCACGGGTGGTTCGTGTGATTGGGTCTCAGACTCCCATTTGCTGTCAATGTCAAAGCTGTCGCCCAAACCCAACAAAGCTGAGGTGCAATTTGTTCCCTTTGAAATGGGCAAAATGAGCTTGTTTTGAGTAAGTGATAACAAGTAAATGAGCAAATGACCTGTTTGATTCAACTGATCAGTTATTAGGGTTAGTGATTTCCTGACACTTAGTTTATTTTTCCTAAGACTCTTAGTGAGCTCTGAAAAGAAATTCTCACATCACTCAAGGGACAGAAACAAAAAGATCCACCTACCAGCATCTGAACGTTAAGGAGTCAATTAAAAAAAATACCTTAAATTGGCAATTTGATACAGAGAGAGAGAACTCTGTTCTTGATAACATTTTGTGCAGTTAAGACAATGATCACGTGCTTGGTAGTGAAGAATTAGAAAACGCAGCATCTCCGGCTGGCAAAGAGAGGGACTGCCTGGAAGTTTAGTAATCAGAGAAGGTTTATTTAGCAACAAACTTCAGAGAGAACTTCTTTAGCAGTTTCACCTGTCGCTGTGTGGACAACTTCTGATTTCTCAAACTTATTACATTGCAGAAGGGAAATAGACTTTGCTTTCTAATAACAGAATCATGTGAAAAGTGGAGAAATCAAACAAGGGTCTTGTTCTGACCCGTCCCTCTGTGGACTTCCAGTGGCCCCACCACTTGGAAATGCTCAGTCCGCTCTTCTGTGGTCTCTGTGGGGCCCACATCCCTCTTACTCCGCTCTGCACAGCCCTGGGAGCAGCGGGAGGAATGGTCCCCCACTTTGCACACGGCGACCTCACACTGCAGATACACCACATCATAGCTGCTGAGAAAGTTGAAGGCGTTGAACTTGAACTGGGCCGTGTTCTTCTGGTGGGAGTGGAGGTTGACATAGCTTTTGTCTTTGATGCACCTGATAGAAGAAACCACCCCCAGCCACAAGGATTAACTTAAAGGATGGTGTGAATGCACCCCAACTCAAATAATCAGGCTTAGACTCAGACATATGAAGTCCAAACACACCTCTTCCCACTACCCACTCTTTCTTTTATGAAGAAACTTAAAATACTATTGTGAGTAGAAAAACCACTGTTCCTGACAGGTAACTGTGAGAGAAATACAACAAAAACCAAACAAGGTAATTAAAT